CCCCTATGGACCATACTCAGCATGACTTACAATTGCTGCCTTGGCCTGACACAATGAGTGCGAGACGACTTGGTAATAATCAGCAGCCAACAATGCTGTAAGATTAGAGATGGAGCAGAATGCCTTCATTAGTAGTCTTCATGGCCAATATTTGAGCTGTGTTCCTGAGCACACGAGAGGATTCTGAAATGAGATTTGGGGTTTTGACCTTTATTTACCAAAGATGGTTTCTCTAATCACAGTTGCTCCTTTCTAGCTACAAAATAATATCAGTCGGTGATAGTATTAGTGGTTGAATTTTGTCTATAGACCTTGTGATCTTCTCAGGAAAGCTATGCTATTCCAAGAAGTGAAAGTGAAATGAGAAGTCAATTCTTTTTTTCACTGGTTGTGAAATTGGTCCACCGTCAACCGTCAACAAGGTCAGAAAGGGTTTGGTTAATCTTGACTATGAAGAACTGTTTGACATTTTGTTTTTCTACTGAGGATAAAGTCAACTCGAGCACTATCCCGTAAATGTCTTCACTTTCCCAAGGGCTCATACGCGTTGGCGGATAGAATAACATAGGAAATGCTTGAATGGGACCAAAGTAGACGCTGATTGCTTCATTATTGTACAGCCAGTTCACTGTGCAATCAATATTCACTACATAATGATAAGATTGAGCAAATAACCTGTCTATTGTCACTTTAAACAAAGAATGTAAAATCTAGAAGTTGGTTTATGTTGGTTTATGTTACCTATGAACAAAGCCAAGCTAACTGTTTTTCAAAGCGTTCATGCTAAGCTAACTAGCTGTTAGCTTCGTATTTACAAAACAGACATGAGAGGGGACAGTACATCCGCAATTCTCTGCTGGTACAGTTGGTTGCCCCTGTCATATATCAAATAATCCTCCTACCATAAAATTAAACACATGTTGCATTTCTGAATACAAGATGAAAGGAATTGTGTGTTATTGGTGCTTACTGTTAGGTACAATGAATGCAGCCAGTGTAGACCAGCTTGTATCGAGTACAAAGGGGATTGTTGTAGGGAACATCAACAGGGGCCAAATCAGTGTGAAGAAACCTAGCCTACTTTTTAACTGGCTTTTGTGCTGTGCCAACTAGTCTTTTTGTCTGCCAAAAGAGTCTGTAATACATGAAAGAGACCAGGGAGTCAGTCCAAAACCAGCTTGAAAGATACGCTCTTAAGAAGAGTTTTTACAGGTGTCACCTTGGTACTAAAGGAAATGTTAGTTTGCTACCTTTTTAGTTTTTACACTGGGGCCGATGTAACTTAATTATTCATTTGGATTTGAGGGGTCAATGGACCCCAGGGAGCCGGCTGTCATCTTGGCACCAAGTAATAGGCATCACCTGCAAATGGGTGTGACCTTGGCTAATTAAATGTGGTATTTCTGAAGTAATCTGTGTAAAACATGGGACAATTCTCATTATTTCTCCTGACAAAGGAATTGGTAAAGGAAAATTAAAAACATGAGTAGTTCGTATAGGAGAGGGCTTTTCTCATTTGCCAAAGAAAGGTCTTGGACCTGAGCGACATTCTAGTATACCGATTGCCTATTGTATGTACATAATGTATTCCACTATTAGGTTGCGATCAGATAAATAATAACCACATTTAGATTTCATAAATCATCTTGTTGTATGACGAAGACGACTGTACCCATTGTGTCACAGTTTTATATCAAGTTAGAGAAGCAACTTAATATTTCATGGAAAACAGAACGTAACCTCCGGGCAGAAACTGTTCACACTTCATGGTATTCTGCTATATTACAGAAATAAGACGGAGGGATCCGATTATTCTCTCATTGCCATAGAAACTGGGAAAAAATGTAGCTTTCTCTGTCGTTATCATTGTGGTTTGATTTGCAGTGTAGTAGTGAGGCAGGCAGAAGCACTACGAGATGATGGGGGAGGGTTACTAGGCGCTGAATCTGAGATGCTTTGATGTTGTGCAGGGAGGAGGGAATACAGCAGCGGTGGGATCGCATTCCCAGTAATCTCAATACATGGAACAGGATTCTGGTACAGTGACGTAAAACTCGATCTATAATTATTTATTTAGCTTGTTCTCACATTGAATTCATTAGTTGTGTTTTGATTGCCTTTTGTCTGCAGTGTGGGTGTTAGACTCTTGTTTCTGTGATGTATAACCTTTACCTTCAATCAATGGGATTCTGACCCTGCAGCGGTCAGAAATTGGCATTTCCATTTGAATGATACGAGCTATCTCAGTGGTTAATTTTCTAGCAGCTAATCAATGAATTGAGGAATTGAATGTTAAAATGAAAAATGGAGTTCCCGATACAGTATTTTTTTATTTTAGAAGAAAAATATTTTTGGTGATGTTTTCGTCATTGTTTTCTTTGGCAAGATAAATTAAACTATTGTAATTGAAGCCTGTATGTTACTGTGGGAAAACATTGCTGGAACTTTTTCTATCTAAGTGTCATAAATCTCTGGAGAAACATTTGTTAAAGTGAAAGCTTTTTTCTTAGCATTTTGTACCATTTTGTTCAATAAAAACAACAACAACAGATTAGGTTGTTGATCTAATGCCGCAATCGTTATGGATTAGTTAAATTAAACAACAAAAAACCTAGTCGAGAAACTCAATATGTTCGGTTGGGGGTCCTTGTTTTAATGGTTTAAATATTAATGAAAGCCCTCGGAGATTGTAGACTTTTGACAAGTACATATCTCGCAATGTTAAGGAAAGTAAAAGATCATTTGTGTATCCAGCCTGTGATGCTGATCCACTCCTGTTTTCTTCTGATGATTTATTTGTTGGTCCATGTAACAAACTGCCACCAAGTTACATGAACATCGGGGAACTTTAAACAAAAGTCCTTGATGGATGTTATAATTTGGTCTAGGAAAGGGAAACGTATCTGGCCAATGCTGACTTTCAGTATGAAACGGTTAACCAGCATCAGCTCCTGTTTTGTTAATGGTTAACGTTTTGTTGACCCACCCTCCTTGACTTCCTCCCTCTGTGGAAGTATTGTCAGTCTATTCTTAGCATGACCAACTGTAGCTTAATCCTCTTTACTACACAGCTCTATTGTTGTCCAAAACCACACCCACCTTCATGACTGTGGGTACGGTAGTTTATTATGAGCCTTAAACAGGGTACAAACTTACTTAAAGCTTTTGGACTTTCCATGGGATTTCCTGACGATAACAAAACCAGAGACTAAAGGGTACATTTGCTATTGTTTCTATGTTTCTCTTTCTAAGTGACTACAGGTACATCAGTTCTGTAATTCAGTTCAGTATTGAGAAATAACTCTTCTTGACACACCTAACAGCCTGTGACGTAATTGGGCAATCCTGCACAGTCAATTTACGTCCACTTATAGTCCATTTTTCTTCTTCGGAAAACAGCCGTTGATTGTCTTATAAGTGTCATTATGAAAAAAACCTGCATTTCTTTACCTTTGGCTTGATCCATTTTGTTTCTGTCATGTGACAACGGTGGACCGCCCACCATGTTATTCATAAATGAATAATGTGCTTTAATATAAAATGCAAGACCATTCACAGAATCCTCACAGTTATGCATTTAGCTGGAATGTGTATAGACGTGTGTATGTTCTCTCAGTGAATGTAAGAGTTTGGCTGTAATTGTTCAGTGTCAGTGTGTGCATGCTTGTGTGTGTGTGTGTGTGTGTGTGTGTGTGTGATGTGTCCCTCGGGGTGTGAATTAGCTTGCGGTGTAGAGGCCATGCTTCACGCTGAGACAGAACTCTGATCAACTGTGTCCAAAAGATGGATCATGTAAAAGTACTCCTCTTTTCTCTCTCATTATTTACATTGACTCCAGCTGCTCTCCTCTTCCCATTTTCACACAACCCACTGCTTCCGCTGTCTCCCTCCTTTTTCTCCCTTCTCCTCTTTTGGCCTTCATCTTTTCATTTCTCCCATTATTTATTTTTCTTTTGTTTTCCACTTTTCCATTATTCTCACTGCCCTTCTCTCCCTCATCCATCTCTCATCCCCTCACACCCCTGTCTAATCTCATCGGAGGTTATCCTTCTTTTCCTCTTCCTCTGTAGACAATAAATACACTCCCATCCAAACTACATACTTTAAGCCAAGGTCTCTCTCACAAGTCATAATTTCACTCCTTTCCAACTTTTTTTACATGCATTTAATCTAAATGTGTATGAAACGATTACTCAAACACAGGAACAGCAGCTCTTGTCAATTGTACGGCATAAGTTTGTTGGGTTCCTTTTTTGAGTAAGAAAATAAATCAAACTTGATCCACCAAATAAATAATGTGAGGCCGCTTTTGACAGTTAGGCCTTACCCTAAAGAGGAGAGAGAGAGAGAGAGAGAGAGAGAGAGAGAGAGAGAGAGAGAGAGAGAGAGATAGGAGAGAGGAAAGAGAGACAGAGAGATAGACGAGCTGAGAGAAGCGAAAGATAGAGACGCTGGCTATCTCTCTCTCTCCTCGTCCTCTCTCTTCATGTCTCTATCTTCTCCTCTCTATCTGAGCGATACTCTGGGAGGGCGCGGGGGGGATTATAGTGCATTAGTCTGCTGATTCTCTTTCGCATCGCTGCTGTTTCACAGCAATTAGCTTTTACTCAGCTGCTGAAGAGGGACGGAGGGAAGGATGCACAGATAGAGGGATGAGTGAATGAATGATCCCGACCCGGGCTTCTCTCCAGAGAACCGAAGACTCAACCACGTGTGTATTATTCTTATTCATTGTGCGTGCATTCTGATTGCTTTGATGTCATATGTGAGCCGTTTGTGTGACAGGAGGCAGTCGGTAAGTGTCCACACACGCCGTATGTGAAGCCCGTTAATTGAAGAGATCGGTGCATGCGTGCGTAAATAAGGAGCGCAAAACCTGTCGGTACGAGATCAAGTGAAGGGGGAGATGAGCGAAAAGGAAAGTGATCTAATAGAAAAGGGAGGGAGAGGAATGTACCGGACAGCAATGCGTGACCGGGGTCTCACTGAGCTGAGCCCCCTGTCCCTGTCCGCGAGACGCATCCAGTACCGCTCCAATTCACCCCACAGCGCAGTTTCCTCTCCGCACTAGAAGAAGGGTGAGTGACAGTGAAGCTACAGGGCTTTCACCCCTTGGACCGGGGCTGCGGTGCCGGTGGCCGGGGAGGGAGCATGATGAGATTAAGGTCAGGTTATAGTGGACGTATCCGGGTCTAAAGGGACTGAGTACATGGGTCAGCCAGGGTGCAAGAGGAGATAGGCGAGGGCAGCACATAGATGCACTGAGAATGGGATGTTGATGAAGGCATTTGAACGGTGAGAGAGCATGATGATGATGACAATTGAAATGCAGTCAATTGGATTATTTGATTCAAATAAGAGCTCTATAGAGGTAGGAATGATTACATAATGCTTTTTTAAGACATTATTCGTACTGTGACGATGATGGCACTGCTGCTGACGATTGGTTGATCTCTATTTTAATGGTTTTATGACATTCTCTTCGTTTTTGCATTCGTCTTAAATAGTTGTACTTTTGTCTCATAATCAGTTTTTCATCTGAAATCACTATTGTTATATTATAAACAAAGTAATAATATAAGAAATATAAACAAGTATGGTTTTATTGATGAATTGATATTGGTGTTGATGATAATGATGATTGCTAGCTGAACGCAAGCAAAAGTGCCTTCATTTCTCTCTTTATTTATTTTTGTCAGACAATTACATTGAAGCATCTGTTAATTTTTTACAATTACCATGAATCACATTTAAGGAATGTGCATTTTTCTAATGGCCAGCAGGGGGCGACTTCCCTGCTTACTAGAATAAGTCAGATTCTATAGAAGTCTATGAGAAAATGACCCTACATATTGCTTGATTGATCAAACATTTTGCTGTGTCACTTGTTAGTTTCAAATCTTCATCAATGCAACATGTAATGTATGATCCCCTTTTAGGGAATACAAGATTAAACAGGATATGCTTCAGGGTGGGGCTACTGACAAGATTTCTGGTTTGTTGTCCTAGTTTTCAGCTTTAAGCTTTAAACCTTTCACAGTGCTTACACTAATATTTTGATCGTCTCTTACGTCACTCCTGGTTCGAAAAAAACGAAATGGCAACAGCAGAAATGCCAAATCTGTAGTCCACTTAGCGATGGATTACATCATAGTGATCACATCCACTTCTTATAAAGGCAGCATGATGATGTTGAGGAACATTAAGATGAAAATGCTTCCAGTAAAAATTCCTTATGGTAGCATGTGGCAGTGGTTTTAATGATGATGATGTTGTTATAAGATGATGATGATGATTGTGAAGGTAGCCTTTTGATAACAGCAACATTGTGAATGATGTGGTTGAAGATGATGATATTGAACATGGTGTGGTGGTAGTTTTGTAATAATAGCTGAGCTTATGACAGCATGATGATTTTTTTCCACAAAGATAAATAATTAACATGAAGATATGTCGCCTTCTTAATAATTCAAACACCCAAGCTGTCTAAAGAAATGTAGGCTATAGATTCATTTGCATATCTCAAACAATTTTTAAGCTTTCATCAGCAACAATGAGTCTTTGTGTTAAGAAGCTTTGAAGCCATCTAGCTGGCTGCTACGATCCACTGGGCATTTGCTGCATGTCTGCAGGGCGGTGATAGAACATTTCTGACAGTTCAGACGTGCAAAGCATTTTCCAGCTTCTAGTATAGGGTCAAAAATATTTCTGGATTTTTCCTGGCCGTAAGATTGCATGATTTAATGATTAAAGGTTCAAACTTTCTCAAGTTAAGCCTTGGTTTATAGGCCATGACACAGAAATAACTTCTTGAAACGCTGATGTAATGGAACTTCACTCAAAGTTCTCATTTATAAAAAGACAACCCCTTAATTTTGCCCTTAAACAGCAGCAGTATGTTTTTGGGCTTTCCTTCCATCCGTGTTGATTTAGTTCCATCCGTCCAAATATTCATCCTGGGTGAGCTGCGTCTGCAAATGACCGAAAGTCCAGAGAAAACATGTGTTTGGAAATAAAACCTCATGCATTAATTCATTATTTTTTCCAAGGCCTAATCCTAGAAATGTCAATATTGTCTGATTTGGTCAGGCTGTCACATTTGGCAACGGGTTACGTGTGTGTTTTGTGTATGCACATAATGCATGCTGCCCCCGTACCTGCTTCGTCTCTATTTGTTTGTTTTGGGGCCAAAAATATCCCACACTCTCTTAATGCCCGGTGCTTCATTACCTGTGACTGTGTCCTCAATGGACCCATTCAACAAAACACTCACTTCCCTGCTTGAGAAGGTGGTAACCCTGTATTGGCCTCTATTCTTGTCCACGTTAATCTGGTTATGTGCATCGTTGGCACTGGACTCAGGGTTACTTGTGTGGTTACCAATTCCGGCTCTCCGGGATCCCGCTACTGTCAGCTTACCTTGTCTGGCTAATAGCTGGGAGGGACAGGAAAGTCCCCGCGGTCATAATCCTCTTCTCTCCTGAGTGTGTGTTTGTGTGTTACATGCTGTTAGCACTGTCAGGGGGGGGTTGTTAGCTCTGGAGATACATTGTGTCTGCTTGGTGTCAGGAGGAAGATGATAAAGACTGGGAAGTAGAAAAAGAAGAAATTAAGAAGAGGAAGAGGAATATAGCCTGGAGGCTTCTGTAAAAGCAGAGTAAAAAAGGACATTTGACAATGATGTTTAGGTTTTTAATTAACTGAGGCATAGCAAATATTTAATCACTCACCAATCTTTTGTATGGTCCTCTTATGGCCTCCGGACCTACAACAGTGTTTAATGGCTTTGATTCTAAGTCATAATCTTTACATCTAGACATCAGGTTTTGTTCAGAAGGGCCTTTTAGAAAAAATAAATAGTTGTTTATAAAAATGACCTAGACATCAGTGCTATTCTTTATATTGCAGCACGTTGGGGCTCCATATGCTTGATTTCTGCACTGCTATAAAGCCTGTTTCCCCATGCTTTCCCCCACAGTGATCATTCAACTTTCAGTTCCCATCCCAAGCTTTCTGACTGACTCACCAACTACATTTTCATTTTGTTTTAACACGTGGATCCTGCCTGTTGATTTAAAGAAAAGCCCACTCCATCTATTTTATGTGTTTAGACTTCTGCTTTACTCAGGATGATTTCAAGAGGCATTTTAATCTCACTGCCACCTAAGAACGAATCGAGCCCCCCCCCATTTGGGCGTTACCAAGCATGCCATCCTCCTACAGGTTGATTAATTAAGTTCCTATAACAATAGTATGTGATGACAGTGATAGATCGTGGTGTTCATCTCTTCCTGGCTGTGGCACAGACTTGTTGGCCTATCCTGTTTTATTTAATGCAGTGCTTGACATTCATGGAAAGAGCCCAATATGCTGCCGGCTCTGCCCCAGCGCTACATCACATATTGGCAGCTCGACACTGGCTGGACTAGAGGCTACTGTGGATGGAGGCCAAGGGTGCTGCTTATACTATCAAACTAATCTGTCAAACCTAAAACTTTACAGTCGGTGCAGAGAGTTGTTAACTGTAATATCTGAAAAATATAACTGGACCTAAAGCCTGATAGTGCAGGAAACACTCAGAGAAAATGTAAAAATATATTTAACACGAGGTGACCTAGGGACTGAACACACTATAATCACTTGCACGGGGCTGGAACCATGATTTATTGTGAAAGTAACACCTTGTGATTTAAAAATAAAACAATAAAGAGGAGTAATGCTAACCTAATATAAACCTGATTCATCTCATGGGGCTTCCATCACTCATTCCGCTCAGTTTCCAATCACTCCTAAAGCATCGCTTCAGGGATTAATTTGACACGTTTATTGCCCAATGGTGTGATTTCAAAGCTGGGCGGCAGTTTCTGATGCACCAAAAGGGGTCTCACTTGCACGGCAGACTGATTCGGCCATCAGGAGCGAAGCTGCAAATTAACTCACATTCAGTGGCATGAATTGCCACTGAATGCAGCATGCACCATTTCTGTTTAGTCTTCATATTAACCTAACCAAAGAGGACAGTCAGATCTTGCAGTGTTACTTTCCTCTCAGTATTGATTTGTGTTATATCACCTAGAAGTGAAGGTAATCTATTGTATGCATTTACTCCATTCATCACCCACAAGCCTCTTGTAAATTATATTTAATCACATACAAAAGAGTGTAAAGTTATTTATTTCTATGAATATGAAGACCATTATATAGCTATAAATCTCCAGATTGTATATTTATGAATGAGAAGGCTGTGCATGCTGAGAGATGAGTGATAAAGTAGAAATCCACTTTAATATCTTTATTACAGCGTTTTGTTTTGTTATGTCATGCAGTATTTTATCTCACAAAACACACAGTTGGAACATGTATAACATTATTTCCAGATGACCCCATTTTGATTTATGTCAATCAATCAAAGGAGGAACAGTCCATCACAGTCAGAGATACCTCAATAGATTAAGCAGTGCAGCACCACTGCAGCCTGTGTGGGTCTAAAGTGGCTTTCTCCAGCCTTAGTGACTGATGTACATGATGTAGGTGGAGGAATTGTAGATGCACCAGAAAGAAAAGTGCACCACTTAATCAAAAAGCCTTATTCAGCAACCTGCTTTTGACCTATTGGTCATAGCACACAAAGAAAGGCTGCAGCAGCAAAATCCCTCAATGTATTGAATTGAGCAATGTTGAGTTAAATATCTTTTAAATTCAAATTTGAATAGGTAAGAATTGAAAAGTTGCACGGTTTCAAGAAGTCTCAATCTTAATGCCATTTTTTCGTGACTGTCATTCCAATAAATCTGGATTCTGGTTCTATTAATGGACATATAGCAGCATTAAGGCATTCCAACTAATACATGCATTTAGTTGCTTTAATATAAATAGGAACAGTTACTTGTTTAGATAAACCATCTTAATCTCACTGGCTGAGGATCTTTCTGCAGAATCAGGCATGAAGTAAGATTTGTCAAGCCCCCTTAACCAGGTTATCAAACACAGGCAGACATCCCTCGTAATCCAAAAGTGAACAAACACACACTTCACTCAGGACAACCTTAGACTGACATACATTTACAAACAGATATGA